TCACTCATTTTCTAGGTACGAACGGGGGTGGCTTTAACTTACCTTCAATATTTTTTTGTCACGGAATCTTCCACAAATTATGCCATACTCCAAGATTGATGCATGTAATAATGTTTAAATTAAAGTAGTGTGAATGCAAATGTAGATGTAAAATGCAGATGAAAAAGGTGTTGATTCCATAAGTGACCACCATAGAACAACCTTCATTTAGACAACAAGGTTTAATTACACCAAGTAGTCAAAATAAAATTGTGATTCTTCATTTCTTTATTTCCTTGAGTCGTACTCTTCATGTGATCTAACATTGCACCCAAAGTGGTCGGTGTACTTTATTACATTTGACGATGCCTAATGTCCTCACATTATTTATGGTTGAATCTTGAGATCTCCATTTTCTTCCAATGCGATGTGGTTTTCATGTCTTCGTGAAGGTCTTTTCATCCTTAATATGATTGCATCTATCTCTTGAAGATGCATCTCGGCCTTTGCACCTTTAAAGGAAGCCTTTAATCAGCTTCAAATTTCTTCATTCATCGGATGTCTTTCTTAATGGATCATTAGAACATCTTTGGGTCATGATTTTGATTATATGACTAATAATTTCTTGTCTCATTATGAACAACCTTCTTATTTAGTCAATCACTTGTGAATTAACACCTTTGGATGATATGAAGATGCAAATGCAACAAAATCAAAATAAAATAGACACAAAAAGGGTTAGTACACATAAGATAAATAATAAGATAGTAAATAATATAAGCATCAAATAAAACATACCTTAACAGGTTGACTATCCATACATGGTATGATAAATCCTACCCAAACATGCTCTCTACCCACAAGCTTTGTTATTCACCAAAAATCCTAACTGCATTATATCTAATTCGTATGCTTGTTTGAAAAATAAACCTAGTCGCATGATTTTTTGTTCTCATGCATTCATTCGAAAAATAAAATTAAACTAGAAAAAATTAAAAGACTCAAAAGAGCTTTTCCTTATGTACTCTCCTCACGAAACTCTTAAGGTTTGGGCTGGGCTCTACATAGGTTCGGGTTCTAGGTTCACTATATGTTGGGTTTGGTTATAAAGTACAAGGTTCTCGAATTGTATTTGTCAGTGCCCACTTGGACTGCCAGACCCTCAATCTTGGCCCATCACATGCTTTTGGATCGAGTTCAATTCGAGGGAACACTTCTCCTTATGTCCGTGCGGAGGTGAATACCAACACGAGGACCATAAGGCATGAGCTCCAGGAGCGATTCACTATCCCATGCAGAGGTGAAAACCAAACGAGGGAGTAGTTTCTCACTCATACTTAAATTGGACGGAGCGGGGTTTTATCTCATGTTATGATAATGCAACTGTGCGATGTGTGAAGAAAAGCGAAAAACACACAATCACACAACACACAAATCAATCATCAAATTCCTTTAAAACACACAATTAATATGAAAACATTAGCAAACAAGTCAGTATAACTATTTAGAGGTTAATCAGATTACAAAAAAAAATTATTTAAAACCAAACAAGGGATCAAAAACCAAATTAGAACGAACTTGTAACTTTCATTTACAAAGACAATTAATTAATTAACTGTCGGTCTGACTCTCTAAAAAAACTCCCCAGTGGAGTCACCAAGCTGTTGAAACTATTTTTTCGTTCGGGGTTAAAAAATACATTTTTACATTATATTTTGATTAATTTTTAATTAAAAAGTAAATGTGATTTAAAAAAAATCTCTCGCTTCGAAAAATTTTGGGATTCCCTTTTTGAAATAGAAAAATGTATGATTCGAGGAGTCGCTACCAATCTTTGATTAGGGTGTGATTGGGCACCCAAAAACATATTTCTTCATTTTAATAAAAATATTAATTTTAATTAAAACGATAAATTTGCAGTCTGTGTACCAGAAAATTGAGTTCGGGAGTTGGCTACGCGTGGGGAATGATTAGTACCCCCACAGTGTCCCAAAATTGGTACCTAGTCGATTAATTAATTGTCTTTGCAGTAAAATTTACGAGTTCGAATTTAATTTAATTTAAGATCCCTTAAAACAACATTCGTGAATGTTAGAATGAAACTAAGTAATATTTAATTATTTCCTATCAAGAAGAAATAACCTCTCATACCTTCAGACAATCAATTCTTACTCCAATCGAAATAAAAAAATATTACGGTTTCATTGTAATATTCAAACACACAATTAAACAAATTAAATTAAAAATTACCTATCCTTTTAGAAAGAAGAAGAATATTCAATTATTTAATGATGTCGAGATCGGACTTTAGATAAGTTCTAACAGTATTTTCTTGAAGAATTTAAATAAACGAACATTTCTTGTTCTCTCGTTCCCAATTTTTAAATGAGGTCAAATTTTAGGGTTTCACTTGACGAGATACACCTTCTTTTTAAAATTATCGGAAGTAGCATTCTTGTAAGTTAAGACAGTCACTTCACATCAACCTTAGAAGGAAAGGGTATTACCCTTAGTCCAATTATTTGAATTAAATCGAGTTATGCTCATAAGTATATCATATGTATCAAAATGTCATCATATGAAAATCCTATATGCAAATAAATGTACATCAAAAGAATCGTATGAAAACGTGTATTAGGCTATTTAATAAAAAGCTACAAAATACATACATGCAACGATTGTTTAAAAGCAAAGGCTTTATTTGATCAAAACCAAACTGCCTTGAACAAATATAAGCATGCACTTACAATTAATATAATATAGAGTAAAAAAATATAGATAATATCGTTGATGGGTTAGCCGGCCATCATACTACGGGCAATGACTGCCCTACAAGTAGGATTGAGAGTGAGGAAGTCAAAATGGCTCTTAGAAAGATGGGGAGGGACAAAACTGTCGGTCCAGATCAAATTCCTATCACTGTATGGTTAGCCCTTGGAGAAGAGGGAGTTAAGTGGTTGACCAATATCTTTAATATTATTTTAGAGTCTGCCAATATGCCAGAGGAGTGGAGAGAGTCTACGGTGATACCAATCTATAAGAATAAAGGAGATCCTCAACGTTGTGGTATTTACAAAGGTATTAAACTACTCAGTCATACCATGAAGATATGGGAAAAGGTGATAAAGGCTAGGTTGAGACAAGTTACTAGGGTTTCGAAAAACCAATTTGGCTTTATGCCAGGCATGTCTACTACGGAGGCGATTCATCTACTTTGACGGCTTATGGAGAAATATAGGGAAAAAATAGAGATCTTCACATGGCGTTCATTGACCTTGAGAAGGCGTATGATAGCGTTCCTCGCGATACGATCTGGAAGACCTTGGAAACGAGACGAATCCTAGCTGCTTATATCCGGGCAATTCGTGATATGTATTGTAGATCTACTACATACGTCAGGACTACAGTTGGCGACACCGAGGCATTCCCGGTGGAAATCGGACTCCACCAGGGGTCGGCTCTTAGTCCTTACATCTTCGCCTTGATTATGGACGACATCTATTGTGCGACACCAGACGGTGTTCCATGGTGTATGCTTTTCGCTGACGACATTGTCCTAGTTGCTGAAACAAAAACTGAGCTGAATAGTAGACTGACTACCTGGAAGACTACTTTAGAAGAAAAATGTCTAAGGATTAATATTGAAAAGACAGGGTATTTATGTTCAAATTTCAATGGGAACCAAAACGATGAAGATGTAGATGTATGCATCGAAGGACACGTTCTCCCCTCAAAGGATTATTTCAAGTACCTAGGGTCTATGTTACATAAAGATAGGAATGTAGATGACGACGTTACACACCGTATAAAGGCGAGATGGCTAAAGTGGAGGGCTGCTACTGGAGTTTTGTGTGACAAGAAGGTGCCTCTAAAACTTAAGGGAAAATTTTATAGAATGTCAATAAGACCAGCACTGCTGTATGGATCAGAATGTTGTGCAATCAAGAAGGATCACGTAAGGAGGATAGAGGTCGCAGAAATGAGAATGCTTCGATGGGCATGTGGTAGGACTCTGTGGGACATGACACCAAACTCTATTTATAGGTTTTAATTGCCTTTGTATTAATATCCATGATTTCTACTTTTTATAGGTTTTTGTCATTGGAATTTATGAAGGCTTAGAACTAGGGTAGCGAAGTAATGTTGCCTTAGTTATAGGTTTTAAATCATTTGACTTTATTCCTTCTCGTAGCTTGCTATCGTTGAATTTTGTGTATCCTTATCTGCATGTTTCCTACTAAATTTAGTTGGGATTTACGTTTCTGTCTATATGCAGAGATTTTTACGCAGGGATTTATTTGCAAGGATTAATTCCAATACAGACGCGCATATTAAGACTGCATATGAAGACTGTTCAACTATGTATTTATTTATTTATTTATACATGCATGTAATTTATCTTTATTTTTATTTTTCTGACTGTCGGAGGTCTTCAGCGGAAGCTGCTCTCAATCTGGCGTTGGGGGCAGCCTATTACCCTACCTTCCCCTTACCTCATTCAATGGGAATAGGATTTTGCTGTTGTTGTTGTTGTTTTTAACACATACACAAATATAAAATATGACATATATACCATACCAAATTACGTGCATCATGCGACATGTGTAAGTATATATTTACAAATTACACAAAACATACACAATAAAAATCTAATATTATGACTTAAATGAACAAACGACAAACATGGCAAGCCAAAGTATGAAAACTTAAATATAAACGCAAGAACAAAAATGCAAAAGCCTTAAAATTGCAGGTTCTAATAAACAAAACCAAGATTAAATCATACATACATAAAGGCTAAATAAAATTAGTGCATAAAGTGTAAGGTGCAAATAAATTAATATAGAAAGTTTAGGGGATTAAACTAAGTGAACATAATATTAAATAAACAATAAAGGTAAGGACTAAATTAAATAAACCAAAACCCAAAGGGTGAAATCTACGAACAGTCGAAGTAAACTAAAAATTTACAAGCTAAATCAACAAACATTAAAAGGTACCAAATCAAAAGAGGGACTAAAATGGAAATACCAGAAAACTATGAAGGATCACGGAGAACATTTGCTCCTTTAGCCTTTGAAGTGGACTCTACCGAGATTGGTCTCCAGACTCCAAGTTACTTAAGGAGTATAAAATACATATATATTTTTAACTTATTTCATTCCCCAATTTCAAATTCAGATTAACGTAAAACCTGAACAAGTTCTTCGCAGGTTCGTCACGAGCCCATAAAACGATGGTCTCCATCGTTCCTCAAGCACGTCTCCGTCGTGGGTTGGCTCCGACAACCACTCGCCGGCGTCGGAGAAGGGGGAGACCACTACCAACCGAAATGTCTCTCCATTCCGAGAATAGATCCGGACCCCGATGGGTCTAAAACACCTCCTAACGGTGCAGATCTAAGAAAAAAACTCTTCGGTTTTTAAGATATCGGCAACCTTCTTCTCCGGCTAAAACAAACGAAGGTAAACTTCTCTCTCTCTCTTTCTTTGTTTTTGGTTTTGGAGAGCTAAGGGAAAGACTCCGCCCTACGCATGGATTTTGTCAGTTATCGGTGATGGAGGCCTCGTCTGAACGTTGTGGATCTCCAACTAGAAGTTCGATCGTCTCAGGTAAATATACTCGATCCCGATTCTTTTCCCTTTTGTTTAAAAAAACAAAAGAAACTATAAAAAAACTAAAAATTTGCAGGAAATGTTAAGAAAAAGTTAGAAAAAATTATGAAATGTATACTTTGCTTGTATTTATTTCAACTGGTGGGAAAACAATTACAATGGTTCCTTTTTTTCCCGGTTTTTCGAATGGTGGGGATCGTATTTACAGTGTTTCGAAAAAAAAATCCCCCTTCTTGTATTGTTTCTATGGGTTTTTATAATACCCAGATTACAACAATCCCCTCTATAAAATGGTTCCTCGTGAGGAAACTGCCAAGCACGAGCGAAGGTTGTATGACCTCTGCAACAAACGGTCTTGCAGTGGGTACCAAAAGGGGACCACTACTTCGTATGATATTTTTCATTGTGGCGTGATTCGAGAAAAATTTCCATAGTTGATGTGGAGAATGATGGCAACGATTATTATAACTGAGACTATCTACGCTTGTGTGAAGATCACCGAGCTGAACCTGGATCGTTCGATCAACATTTGTATTGCTCCAAACTAATATTGGCTATTGGGGACCATTAAAGGTCATATGATAGCTAGGGTTTCCATGGATACAATCTACTTATGGGTTGATTTGTAATTGGGTTGTGGGCCGGACAAAATGAGCATCTACAAATAACATGTTAGTCTTAAGTGTATTATTATTGACCATACCCATAATAATACTTGACTATGGATCTTTTAATAATAATGTTATTATATGGACTTTATTATCTTTCAGTTTATGTTAAACACAGATATATAACTGAAAAATAATAGTGGCAATGTCTTTATTCAATGAAATCAGTAAATAAAAGTATTATTACAATCATCATATAATTAGTCTTTGGGTATACTCTAACACGAACGACATCAGAGTTTCAGTCTATGAGTACACTTTGAATCATATGAGGGCGTGTAGGAATTGACCAAGTTAATCTAGAAACGTAAAAACTTTAACTATGATACTACTAAATGCAACACCCCAACCCGACTTAGAAATCAAATATGAATTGACGATGTCACATTGGACCACCAAAGTGATCCTACAAATCAAGACTCAAAAAATACAATTTACTTAAAAGTTAAAATTCAATAATTCAAGTATATAAAAAAATAAACATTTATAGAAGGCTATAACTCCTTTATTTGAAAAACAAAATACTTAAATAAACAATTTACAGTAGACACAAATAAAATCATAATCTCTACACGCCCACTTAAATCCTTATCGTTTTATTCTGGTACTCCCACTAAGACTCCACTAATGACGTCGTTGTCACAATGTTATCCTCGAAACTTGAACCTATTGAGGTAATAACTAAAAGGGTGGGTTATTAAGCCCAGTGAGTTCACATCGACCCTACTAAATTTCACGAGTCTCATAAAGTGAACATGCTAGCCATTTATGAAGTTGAGCAATTAATCAGTGATTCTTATAGTCTTATCATTATCAGTCGGTTTCATTAAACTTACCCAAGGTTTAAAGGATACTATGCTTTTCTCATCAAATTACCTTACTTTTCCTATCATATTTGTGATCATAATAACTCTAAGTTCATTATGTAGTAGGCACGGTACTTATGCAATCTAGGATATTCCTCTGGTTTAATGAAGTAGTTTCATCATATTAGTCTCTTCATTATGTGTTTTTCTGACGATTTGTCTTATCCCAAATAATATCTTTAGTTATATCAACAACAAAGGTAAATGTTCATGCTTATAAGATTATTTGCAAGCACATTAATATAATGCATATAATCACTAGCAATAAGTGCATGTATATTATGTATGTAATCATCAGTAGCAAGAGTATGTATATCATGCATATGATCATTATTAGTAGGCGCATGTATATCATGCATATAAACATTATTAGCAAGTGCATGTATATAATCATTATTAGCAAGCGCATGTATATCATGCATATAATCATCAACAATAAGCGCATGTATCATCATTAAATATTATCAAGGACGCTTGAAGAAAACTCTACTAGGCATCTTTCTAGATGACGCGAGTCAAAATGTTATATTAATGAGAAATCACTCTGTTATAGTAGATGAACCAGAAGGTCTAAATGCACCAAAGTGATACAAACCCATAGGTCCAAACGCACCAAAGTTTTAACACTATTATAGAGTTGCTCCATCAAGGTGAACGATCTTGAGACCAAGATGCAGCTACTCAGCACTAGCCATACCATTATACCAACGACCTCTAACTAGTTTACTTGGGCAATAATAATACCAAAATACATGAAATTCACTCACCTTGGTATAATCAACAAGCAATAGGAATAATTAGGATCGCTTGCCTTATGCATCCCTATCATCATGAATCATCGTAGTAAAGAACTGGTCGACTTGCCATAAACCTTTCCAATATTATGCACCAACTCTTGCAACATGGCAATCATTTATGCATCACATAATACATATTTTAAACATTTATAAAGTCTATAAAACATTTACTACGAATAGGGTATTTTAAATCTTTCAACATGGAGGGTTCTCCAATCATTGTTATTCTTAACTAGTATTCTTATCCATTTACCTTGTATTATTCTAGACATATAACCAATTAAGAGATGCCACATACTTACATCAGTGAGAGTAATACATAATCTCAGCAATAACTTAAACATGCTTACACCAGTCAATTTAACATATATTTCTAGTAAGGAACTTATCATATACTTACACTAGTTAAATTTGTCACATAATTCCCACAGTAAACTCATAACAGACCTACCCTTAATTATCTAGTTTCCAACCTAAAATCCAGTTTCCAACCTTAAATCTGGTTTCTAACATAAAATCTGATTTCCAACCTGAATTCAAGTTTTCAAACTAAAATCTGATTTCCAACCTAAAATCTATTTTCCAACCTGAAATATGATTTCCAATCTTAAATTTGGTTTTTCCAACCTAAAATCTGATATCCAACCTGAAATTTGGTTTCTAACTTAAAATATGGTTTCTAACTTGAAATATGATTTCCACCCTGAAATCTGATTTCTAACCTAAAATATGGTTCAAAACACATAAATTCAATCGTGAATTCATCATATAACGAGGTAAACTAAGCGTGCTCATAATAGTTCTATCTAATCAATTTATCATCAAAATAAGGCTCTTAGAAATTACTACCAGAATGTTAAATTGAGTGTCCATAAGGCATCGAGATTATAAAATTCATTAAACAATATGGAGTTCGAGGGGTACTTACCTCAAGCAAGCGTCCAATACCTTCACTAAGGATCTTACACTTTTCCCTTGAAAGAATACCTTTCTCCTCTTCATTTTGATCTTCTACAAGACTTTTTTTTCACAAAACCAACCCAATGCCACTAAATATATTCTAACATCCTTAAAACACAAAGATATAACATGAATAGATAGAGAAGCATAGAGACTTTTACCCTTGGCCTCTAACCTCCAAGATTTTCCTCTTCTATAACTTGATTTATTGAATTGTCTCATGAAAATAAAACCTTAAAGGTGGAAGAAAATCACTCATCGCTCTTCATTCTATCAAAATATCTAAACTCATAAACTCTCTCACAAGAACTTTCATGGACAATATTAGGGTTTGAACATAACTCATTCAAAATCTTCATTATTGTATTAAACTTTGTGGAAATGAGGAGATTAAATTTTTTATCTATCACAATGTAACATCAAATCTAACTAGAAATGGAGGAAATGAAGAAAAGAGAGAGAACTTACCTTGCCTCTCTTTCTCACATTTCTTACGGAAGAAGAAGAAGATAATCCTATTATCTTTCTTTGTAACAACCCGAAAAAATTTAGAATAATATTAAATTGAAATTGGAGGTTAATTGTGAAAATTGGTAAATTTTGGGACTAAATTGAAATATTTTAAAACTTGGAGCTTGTTTTAGAGTTAAAGGAAATTTAGGGACCAAGCCCTAAATTTATCCTAAAAGTGTCGGCAGCTTTGGTGATTTAAGCGTGTTTCTGGTTTCAAATCAGAAACCACAAATGTTAAATTGCTTAAGTTTTTCTCCTCCCGTACCCTTACTTCCAAGCCCGATTCCGACGCCGTTCGACGCCCAATCGTAAAATTGAAACCACCGTTGTGTTCATCATCAAGCGAGGAACAAACCCTTCAAATTAATTGAAGTGAAACGCTGCCAAACGTCGGGAATTTTCAGTCAAAGCATCGTCGTTTTTTTTAGCTCTATCGCCGGGAAAAACTTAAATTCACCGCCGATCGTTGTTCCGTTTACGACACCTCCTGCATCATCGTGTTCCTTGTGTCGTTGCGAGTCCGCCGGTGTCAACCTTGTTCGCCGTCGACGGCAGCGCGTGAGGAGGTGGAGCAGTCAAAGATTCGGCCGAGTTGAAATACGAGCTCTCTGCCGTTCAAAAATTTGAACCGATCGTTGTAAGTATCTCGAAATCGCTCAAAATAATTTTTAGAAATTTTTCCGGGAATTTTCCGACACCGTGGCACTGTTCATGCGCCGCACGCGCCGCCGCAGGGAGAGTGAGCTGCTGGAAAACCGGTTTAACCAGTTTTGAACCGGTTTGAACCGGTTTGACCGGTCTGAACCGGTTTGACCGGTCTGAACCGGGTTGACCCGACCCGACTGTTGACCCGACCCGACCGTTGACCCGACCCGACCGTTGACCGTGATCGTTGACCGTGACCGTTGACCGTTGACTTTCTTTGACTAAAACTTAAGATGGCTTTGACCGACCCTTAAACGACCGTAAATCTTTTCCGATTATACCTATCCTGATAGTTTTCGACGTGCCAAATCCATTTCCGCAGTCCGTTTCACCAAATTCAAACCCGAAGATCTCCAAATCGACGGTCAAAGTGGTTGACTTTGACCAGGAATTTGGATTTTCGAAAAGTCATACTTTATATTTTTCGACGTCCTGATTCCGATTCCGCAATCCGTTTGGCCAAATTCAGACTCGAAATACCCCAAATTGATAGTCAAACTCGGAAAATGCTTAGATACTTAAGAATTTTAGCTTTGAACAATTAAGTAAGATTTGGGGCTGATAAATTATTGTTATTTGAAGGTGCACGAGACTCACCGGATCATTCGATAGCTCGACCCAGTTCTTCTAGATCAGTTAAACCACGTATACCAGTATTCACTCGTAAGACTCGTAAATTTTATGATTTTAGAGATTTATTTATGTTACCCATTAGTAATATAGTGATATTATAAATTAGGTTCGAAAACTGTAGCAGAGCGTGGTGAAACCAGCAATCAGTAGATCCACGATTTGAACTATTATCGAGGTGTGTTCCCTATTTATTACTGAATTGTTTTATTTGTTTTAATATGTGGTACACTGAATTCTTTGGTTACCGTATTGTTGATGCACCGATTTAATGTGATTATTTATAGATTATGACTGTTATCTGATATTTGTTTTGAAATGGTATAGAATTACCATGTTTATGGTTTTATGGAATTTATAACACGGTGCAATTGAATTTTTGGAATATGAATTTATAAAGTACAGCTCTGATCAAGTTGGAAAATTTTACGGACCTAATGTGACTCTTAGGTAGGCTCTGCGGCCCTGAGATCATTCTCGGGTAGGCCCTGCGGCCCTAAGATGTGTTCTTAGGTAGGCCTCACGGCCCCGAAATCTATCTTGGGTAGGCTCTCAGGCCCTAAGATGTTCCCTTAGGGTAACGCTTTTTAAAGAGATTTACTGCAGTATAATTTTATGAGACTTTTTGGACTATGATATGTTTAGTGTACCTATAGTGATTTTATGGTAATATTGGGACACACTGAGCCTAGCTCACTTTTCGAAAATGTTTTTCCCCTTTCAGATACTGTTGGTTAGATACCCTGGATTGAGCACTTGGAGGATCAACATATCTCTTGAAGTATATCTGATTGTAATGTTTTTACCTTGCAAGTTGACTTTATTTTGTTGACATTGACCTTATTTAAAAGTATGGGATTTTAATATGATGACATTTTTACTATTACTATTCGGTTTATCGTGATTTGATTTTTAAGATATGTTTTAAATTAATTTATTACTTATTGGTATTATATTTACAAGTTAGGTTTTGATAGTATGATTTATTATAATTTCATGTAATTTATAATGTGATTTTACATTGTTTGAATAACGGTTTCGGAAAAATGTCTTAAAGAATCATAATGTGATCCACTAGACTTAGTCGAAACGCATAGGCCGGGTCTAGGGGGTTACATTTATTGGTATCACAGCTTTTGGTTTTTAAACCTCGGACTGTGTATGAGTCCAAATTGAAAATACGATTTTGAAATATTTACAAAACGAGTTACTAAGGTCATGTCACAAAGTTATTAAATTTTTAACTGTGTTCGAGACTCCAAGTGCTTATCTAACCCTAAGTTTTATCTTCTGTAGCAAACTTGAGATCCACCAAAAATGAGTGCTAGACGTGGTCGTCGAACTAGCCGTGGACGAGGTCGAGTGGCTAGATTTGCAGATCCGATCAATGAGATACGAGTAGATCCCCCACCTCCGATAGGTGATCCTGCTCCTTCGACCCCAACGAATCTGCCTCCTACCGATGGTATTGGCATGACTACACCGATCATAGGAGCGACCGATATTGAGCCAGAATCTACCGGAGTTGCTTTGGATGAGACTTTTGGTAGACAGTTTCTGCAGTTGATACAGGGAGCAGTCAGAGCTGCTGGTGTTGTATCTGAGGTTCCTATTTCGCAAACTCTAATTGCTAATGGGGTCAGGACTTTTGGAGGACAGCTTGGAGGAATTCCTACTGAAGCAGAAGATTGGCTACAGGATACAGAAAGACGCATGGATCAGTTGGGTTTGGACTCAACTAAGAGATATTTGGGGGCAGTAGCGATGTTAGATGGCAATGCCCACACATGGTGGGAGTCAGTGACCGGTAGTGTTCCTACCGATCGTTTGACATGGGATTTCTTCAAGGAGCGTTTTCGGAGCCGATTCTTGGGTGAGCGCTACTTAGTCCAGAGACGACAGCAGTTTCAGGACTTGGTTCAGGGTGACATGACTGTTTCAGAGTATGAGATAGAGTTCTTGAAATTGTTAAAGTATGGAATCAGTATGGTGCCTACCGAGAGAGATCGATGCCGTAAATTTGCCCTCGGACTAAGATACGAGCTACGTAGGCAGGTGGTAGCCCTTCAAGATGAGATTTTTGATGTGCTGGTAAGCAGAGCCAAGGATGCTGAGGAGATGGAGGCGTTAGCTTCTGGTAGAGAGCGTGTTGATCAGGAGCGATCTAGGAAATCTTTTGGCCCTACTGAATCGTCCGGACAGTCTGGTAAGAGGACTCGTACCTCAGCCCCTCAGAGGAGCAATACACGCTTCAGGCCTACAACATCATCACCTTCAGCTGTTAGTAGAGGTGGTTCTTCGGTTCCGATTCTAGTGCCTCAGTGTGACTTTTGTGGGAAACGACACAGAGGAGAGTGTTATAGGAAGACCGGAGCATGTTTTCATTGTGGATCTAGTGGACATTTTCGGAGGGATTGTCCTCAGCTAGCTTCGTCTGAGCGGATCGCTACCCAGACTCCTGTGCGTTTTCAGACTACAGTACAGACTCCAATTAGAGATCGTAGCCAAGTAAAGGCTCGTGGTTCAGCGTCCAGGACAGACAGTAGAGCTCGACCTCAGCAAAATAGAGGGCCAACAGTTTCTGAGGCTAGACAGCCAGCTTTGGTTTATGCCACTAGACGACGTGATGACAGAGATGAGCCAGAGGTTATTGCAGGTATATTTACTATTTATTCTATCCCATACTTTGCATTACTGGACAATGGCTCCACCCACTCCTATGTATCGAGCTCAGTATCTCGAAACCTTCAGATTCCGATCGAGAACACTAAAAATACTGTTACAGTTACAAGTCCAGTAGGACAAGCGGTATTAGTGAATAAGGTATTTCGGCGTTGTCCTTTGGAGGTGCAGGGAGAAATTTTTCTCGCTGATCTTATGGAGCTTCCTCTAGAGGAGTTTGATCTAATTCTTGGGATGGATTGGTTGAATAAACACAAGGTAAATCTGGATTGCGAGTACAAGCGAGCTACCCTGAAGACTTTAGATGGTCGGACTGTTGTGTTAATTGGTGAACGGCGTGGCTATCTCTCCAATATAGTTTCAGCGATGGAAATTGATCGTATGATCCGAAAGGGATATGAGACGTTCATTGCCTGTATTTTGAACACGAAAGGTGCATTGTCCACAATCGAGGAGATTCGTACAGTTAGCGAGTTTCCTGATGTTTTTCCTGAGGAGTTGCCTGGGTTACCTCCTGATAGAGAGGTAGAGTTCGAGATTGAGACTTATCCGGGATCTTCACCTATTTCTATGGCACCTTATCGCATGGCTCCAAAGGAACTTAAGGAGTTGAAGGTCCAATTGCAAGAATTATTCGATCGAGGATTTATCCGACATAGTACTTCACCATGGGGAGCTCCAGTTTTGTTCGTGAAAAAGAAGGATGGATCTTTAAGGCTATGCATTGATTATCGGAAGTTGAACAAGATGACGGTCAAGAATAAATACCCACTACCTAGGATTGATGACTTATTTGATCAACTGCAAGGAGCTATTGTATTCTCTAAGATTGATCTTCGTTCGGGGTATTATCAATTGAAAGTTAAAGGATCTGATGTTGCAAAAACGGCCATTCGCACTAGATATGGTCATTATGAATTTTTAGTGATGCCTTTTGGTTTGACGAACGCTCCTGCAGCTTTCATGGATTTGATGAATCGGGTGTTCCGACCATATTTGGATCAATTTGTGGTGGTCTTCATTGACGATATTCTGATCTATTCTCGTACTGAGGCAGAGCATGACGAGCATTTGAAAATCGTTCTACGGACTTTGAGAGAGCATCGTCTATATGCCAAACTAAGCAAGTGTGAGTTTTGGCTTCAAGAAGTGTCGTTTTTGGGGCATATTATTTCTGCGCGAGGTGTTCAGGTCGATCCCAGCAAGATAGAGGCTATTATAAATTGGAAACGACCCAAGAACATCTCTGAGATCCGCAGTTTCTTGGGTTTGGCTGGTTATTATCGACGTTTTGTTGAGGGATTCTCGATCATTGCTTCTCCTTTGACAAAGTTGTTAAGGAAGAATGTGCCATTTGATTGGGGCGAGGCACAACAGGAGAGCTTTGAGAAATTAAAGGTGGTTTTGACTCAAGCACCGGTGTTGATTCAACCACAGTCCGGGAAGGATTTTACAGTGTATAGTGATGCTTCACATTCAGGACTTGGTTGTGTTTTAATGCAGGAAAGTAAGGTGGTGGCTTATGCATCCCGTCAGATGCGACCGCATGAGTGTAATTATCCTACTCACGATTTGGAGTTAGCAGCAGTGATTTTTGCCTTGAAGATTTGGAGACACTATCTTTATGGAGAAAAGTGTTATATTTTCACGGATCATAAGAGCTTAAAGTATCTCCTGACCCAGAAGGAGCTTAATTTGAGACAACGGCGCTGGCTAGAGCTTCTGAAGGATTATGATTGTGTGATTGATTATCACCCTGGTAAAGCTAACATTGTAGCGGATGCTTTGAGTCGAAAGGCAGTATCAGAGTTGAGATCTTTAATGGACAGGATGAATTTATATGACGATGGCACTTTATTAGCAGAATTGCAAGTTAAGCCGACCTTGGTTGATGAGATCAAGGCTAAACAGCCCCTTGATAGCTCCTTGCTTTCCATCTTTGAGCAAGTAGAGCAGGGGACAAACTTAGATTACGCAATTGATCAGGATGAAGTTTTATGTTTTAAAAGTAGATATTGTGTGCCTGATGATGCTGAGTTGAGGCAGACTATCCTTATTGAGGCTCATAGTAGTCCATATGCTATGCACCCCGGAGGAGATAAGATGTACCGGAATTTGAGAGAGATGTATCATTGGATTGGGATGAAGAAAGACATATCTAATTTTGTGGCTAGGTGTTTGACTTGTCAGCAAGTTAAGGCAGAACATCAACATCCATCAGGTTTGTTACAGCCTATCAAGATTCCTGAATGGAAATGGGAGCATATTACTATGGATTTTGTTACCGGTTTACCTATGACTCCTTCGAAAAAAGATTCAGTTTGGGTAATTGTTGACAGACTTACAAAGTCAGCTCACTTCATTCCTGTGCGGGTAAATTATACTTTGGACAAGCTGGCGAGATTGTATATTTCAGAGATTGTCCGATTGCATGGTGTTCCATTGTCTATTATTTCTGATTGAGATCCGAGATTTACTTCGAGATTTTGGAAGGCGCTACATACGGCTTTGGGAACAAGATTGGATTATAGCACATCCTTTCATCCACAAACTGATGGTCAATCTGAGAGAGTGATTCAGATTCTGGAGGATATGCTGCGGGGTTGCGTAATTGATTTTCATGGTAGCTGGGAGAACTTTTTGCCTTTGGCTGAATTTGCTTACAACAACAGTTATCAGAACAGCATTCGTATGGCACCTTATGAAGCACTCTATGGGCGTAAATATCGCACTCCGATCTGTTGGACTGAGTTACGTGATAGGAAAACGTTGGGACCTGAGTTAGTGCGAGAGACGGAGGACACAGTCAGATTGATACGTGACCGTTTGAAAGAGGCATTTGATAGGCAGAAGTCTTATGCAGATCAGAGAAGGAAAGATATACAATTTGAGGTTGGAGATCAGGTCTTTTTGAAAGTTTCACCCTGGAAGAAAGTATTGAGATTTGGGCGTAAGGGTAAATTGAGTCCAAGATTTATTGGACCATTTCGTATCTTGAAGAGGGTAGGACCTGTTGCATATCAGCTTGAGTTTCCTTCTGAGCTAAGTCGTATTCATGATGTCTTTCATGTATCAATGTTGAGGAGATACTATCCAGATCCAAGTCACATTATTCAGGTTGAAGAAGTAGAGCTGAGACCTGATTTGTCATATGAAGAGGAGCCCATTCAGATCTTAAAAAGAGATGAGCGAGTTCTTCGGAATAGGCGTATTCCAATGGTCAAAGTTCAGTGGAGTAATCATAGCCCCTCAGAAGCTACTTGGGAGACATTGGAGTCAATGGAGACTCAATTTCCTCATCTATTTTCATAAGGTAAATTTCGAGGACGAAATTTCTTGTAGAGGGGGAGAATTGTAACAACCCGGAAAAATTTAGAATAATATTAAATTGAAATTGGAGGTTAATTGTGAAAATTGGTAAATTTTTGGGACTAAATTGAAATATTTTAAAACTTGGAGCTTGTTTTAGAGTTAAAGGAAATTTAGGGACCAAGCCCTAAATTTATCCTAAAAGTGTCGGCAGCTTTGGTGATTTAAGCGTGTTTCTGGTTTCAAATCAGAAACCACAAATGTTAAATTGCTTAAGTTTTTCTCCTCCCGTACCCTTACTTCCAAGCCCGATTCCGACGCCGTTCGACGCCCAATCGTAAAATTGAAACCACCGTTGTGTTCATCATCAAGCGAGGAACAAACCCTTCAAATTAATTGAAGTGAAACGCTGCCAAACGTCGGGAATTTTCAGTCAAAGCATCGTCGTTTTTTTTAGCTCTATCGCCGGGAAAAACTTAAATTCACCGCCGATCGTTGTTCCGTTTACGACACCTCCTGCATCATCGTGTTCCTTGTGTCGTTGCGAGTCCACCGGTGTCAACCTTGTTCGCCGTCGACGGCGGCGCGTGAGGAGGTGGAGCAGTCAAAGATTCGGCCGAGTTGAAATACGAGCTCTCTGCCGTTCAAAAATTTGAACCGATCGTTGTAAGTATCTCGAAATCGCTCAAAATAATTTTTAGAAATTTTTCCGGGAATTTTCCGACACCGTGGCACTGTTCACGCGCCGCACGCGCCGCCGCAGGGAGAGTGAGCTGCTGGAAAACCGGTTTAACCAGTTTTGAACCGGTTTGACCGGTCTGAACCGGGTTGACCGGTCTGAACCGGGTTGACCCGACCCGACTGTTGACCCGACCCGACCGTTGACCCGACCCGACCGTTGACCGTGACCGTTGACCGTGACCGTTGACCGTTGACTTTCTTTGACTAAAACTTAAGATGGCTTTGACCGACCCTTAAACGACCGTAAATCTTTTCCGAGTATACCTATCCTGATAGTTTTCGACGTGCCAAATCCATTTCCGCAGTCCGTTTCACCAAATTCAAACCCGAAGGTCTCCAAATCGACGGTCAAAGTGGTTGACTTTGACTTTGACCAGGAATTTGGATTTTCGAAAAGTCATACTTTATATTTTTCGACGTCCTGATTCCGATTCCGCAATCCGTTTGGCCAAATTCAGACTCGAAATACCTCAAATTGATAGTCAAACTCGGAAAATGCTTAGATACTTAAGAATTTTAGCTTTGAACAATTAAGTAAGATTTGGGGCTGATAAATTATTGTTATTTGAAGGTGCACGAGACTCACCAGATCGTTCGATAGCTCGACCCAGTTCTTCTAGATCAGTTAAACCACGTATACCAGTATTCACTCGTAAGACTCGTAAATTTTATGATTTTAGAGATTTATTTATGTTACCCATTAGTAATATAGTGATATTATAAATTAGGTTCGAAAACTGTAGCAGAGCGTGGTGAAACCAACAATCAGTAGATCCACGATTTGAACTATTATCGAGGTGTGTTCCCTATTTATTACTGAATTGTTTTATTTGTTTTAATATGTGGTACACTGAATTCTTTGGTTACCGTATTGTTGATGCACCGATTTAATGTGATTATTTATAGATTATGACTGTTATCTGATATTTGTTTTGAAATGGTATAGAATTACCATGTTTATGGTTTTATGGAATTTATAACACGGTGCAATTGAATTTTTGGAATATGAATTTATAAAGTACAGCTCTGATCAAGCTGGAAAATTTTACGGACCTAATGTGACTCTTAGGTAGGCTCTGCGGCCCTGAGATCATTCTCGGGTAGGCCCTGCGGCCCTAAGATGTGTTCTTAGGTAGGCCTCACGGCCCCGAAATCTATCTTGGGTAGGCTCTCAGGCCCTAAGATGTTCCCTTAGGGTAACGCTTTTTAAAGAGATTTACTGCAGTATAATTTTATGAGACTTTTTGGACTATGATATGTTTAGTGTACCTATAGTGATTTTATGGTAATATTGGGACACACTGAGCCTAGCTCACTTTTCGAAAATGTTTTTCCCCTTTCAGATACTGTTGGTTAGATACCCTGGATTGAGCACTTGGAGGATCAACATATCTCTTGAAGTATATCTGATTGTAATGTTTTTACCTTGCAAGTTGACTTTATTTTGTTGACATTGACATTATTTAAAAGTATGGGATTTTAATATGATGACATTTTTACTATTACTATTCGGTTTATCGTGATTTGATTTTTAAGATATGTTTTAAATTAATTTATTACTTATTGGTATTATATTTACAAGTTAGGTTTTGATAGTATGATTTATTATAATTTCATGTAATTTATAATGTGATTTTACATTGTTTGAATAACGGTTTCGGAAAAATGTCTTAAAGAATCATAATGTGATCCACTAGACTTAGTCGAAACGCATAGGCCGGGTCTAGGGGGTTACATTCTTCATCTCTTTGTTTCCATATATAAACATATTTTCTAACAAAATGATAACCACAAATTTTAGTTAGATCCAAAGGTCTAAATTGAATATGGAAAACCCTTATACAATCTAATGGTCCATAATCACCCATGTAAAAATATCTTATAACTTTTGGGGATAATTAATTTATTAAAGAGTCTCGCTCTTTCGTTATTTTCACCTTAGAGATGTGTAATTCCTTTATTTCAATTTAGTTACTAATATCCCACAAATTAAATTCTAAGATTTAATTCTTCATCTCATACTTCAAATTTAATCCCTCAACACATAGAAATTGTCTATGAAATAATTTTTTATTTACCAATTTAGTCCTTAATAAAATTTTATGGTGTTACATATCATTTAACAAGCACTCATGTAAAGGATAACAAGACATCACATACTAGAGTCTGCGACAAAACTTTAAGGAAAAACTTTCTTCCATCATATACGGATGCATGGACCTCTCAATAAGAGTATTTATGCATTTATCTCAATTATATTCACTAATAAAATTCATTAATTCCTTAATAAGATTGATTAATGCAGTCTTACGGTTATATCAATCTGAATGATTTTCTTGAAGATTATTTATGTTTTATTCATTAACCTATGGTTCCTATTTAAATGTTTCTTTTACCTTAATATATACACTTTTCAAATCAGTTGTTTTTGTCAAACTCAAACTCAAATAATAAATTGAGAAATTTCCCCCTTTTACCTTCAATTAATTACGATTAAAACGTTGGATTGAGCTGTGTCAAAATCTGTTAATCGAAGTGCACTTGTGATGATGCTCACCGTAAAGATTCAAGAAATCAATTTTTAAACACTCGAAAATGAAGGCAAATCTCCCGTCTTTCTCTTCTTTCTTTCGAACTCTTTGGCCAATTTGCTGCCCTTTTATAGGTTTAGAGTTTTTTTTTTGCTCAAATTTTTCCTCAATTTATTTGTTATCCCTCTTGATGATTGTTGAATATGGATTATATAGAGTAAAAATGGTTGATGTTGGGAGGTTGCCTTGGCCGAATATTTAAGGATTTTAACCGATTTTCCGTGATTTGAGAGATGGGTAGATCCTTATCTTGTTTATATTTCATGTTTAAATTATTGAAATTCGATTTAGGTTGTGGACATTTTATGTTCATTTTAGCACTGTAAAAGTGTTTCAAATTTCTGTGAAATACTACGGTTTTGCTTTCAACTTTTGTTTAGTAATGAATACTAAATGATTTATGATAAAGAAGATGAATTATTTTGAACATATTTTATTTTGTTTTGGAGTGCTTTCTGAAGAGGCATCTGTCTTTAAAGTTTGGAAAAATTCGAGCCTATGTGACAATGATATCTTGAGAAAAGTTTTTATTTTTATTAACTTGTTATTAGCTTAACATGAGTGCTTTATTATTTTGATCGTAAGAAACAATAGTTATGGAGGTTCATGCATAGGACTTCTTCAGTAACTATGGAAAAAATTTGATTTTATTGCAGGCTATGTAGCACAAGTATGGAAATTTAGTGCCTTACCAAGTACTCGATACGTCCTCGAGTTGAATACAGGGTAGGTACAATTTTAATACGTATCGTGGATGTCCCATATTTTAGAGGTACGATTGAAATTAATTGGGTACATTAGAAATTTTTTTTTACGTATAGTCTTTATTTTTGTACATATAATCTTTTATTATTTCTTTATTTATTATATTACTTTTTATCATATTTTACATTTTATGCATCAATTGATTTATATTTTTAATATGAATAGATCAATTAATTAAAATATGGCATCACAAAGTCAGAATGATAATGAGTCTAATGTTAGTAATTGAGTGGAAGTGGGTCGGTTTTTGCATCCCAAAATGAGAATTCATGTCCATTATGAAATTATGTGACAATTGAAAAGATGGGTTACTATTGGAGGACTTGGAAATATCAACGTAATATTTGGGGTAAAACTCGTAATCGTAATGAAAATTATACTAGGGTAAAGACTCATAATGAGATTAATTCTTCTTCTAAAAAGTGAAAATCTTTTTTTTACCTCTTGCTAAATCATTTGACATAAACACTAGGACCCAATTAGATGGGAAAAAAAATTGTAGGAATGTTTTATACCGGTACTCTATCCTTTAGTCTTGCTATCCTCATTACAACATGGTTGTTGCTACTCATAATTTAGATGGTTATGGTCCCACTAGTTATAATAAATCGTGAACCATTACTCTAACGAGAGAAAAAAATGTTGAAAAGCTCTTAGAACCAATTAAAGCAACTTGACAAGAAAAAGGGACTATTGCGTGTGGTGGTTGGAGTGATCATGCAAGAAAGGCTTTCATTAATTTTATGGCTAATTATGGAAATGGGCTCATGTTTCTTAAAGCTGTAAATTGCTTTGGTGTTGTTAAAGATAAATTTTTTATTGTTAATTTGATGAAAAAAGTGATTGATGAGGTGGATTACCAAAATTTGGTTTAAATTATTACTAACAATGCGCTAATTACAAGGGGAGATTATTGAGAGTATAAATGGTTATACCTATTGGTTAGCACGTGTTGTTCTTACTCTCAATCTTTCCTTGAAGAACATTTGTTCGACAAAAAACATTAGGGGAAATGAGGAAACATATGATTGCGTAGTTGGATTATTGAAATTTATGGGATGTAGTACAAATTAGGAATTTCATTATGAATCACACCATGCGATTGATAATCTTTAAAAAAAAAAATTGTCCTCTTAAATTACTATCAGTTTTTGACTCGCATTATACTTCAATTATTGTAATACTTAAGAGTTTTTTTTTAAATGGGTGTCAAAAACCCCTTCTAAGACCTATAAGGGGAAAAGAAAACCCACAAGAAATATATTATCGATGAGAAAAATCATTCGATACATCGTTTAGAATAACCTCATGACAAATCGAATCAAAATACATAACATTACAGAGTGAAGAGCCAAAGTGACTAAATTATGAGTAATCACGAGCAATGTAATGAACAATACGCTCATTAAAGTTGGACAAAAAAGTTGTGCCTCCTCCAAATGAATCTCAATCATTGATATATCACCAATCTAACAATGAATTTTATTCACCATAAGTTGATAGTCAGACTCAAGCATCACACGCTTCGCAATCCCTGGCTAAATGTAAGCCTGAGATTAGTGCATGTGTCTCGGCTAGCCCTACTTACAACTGGGAAAGGCCAAGGCCATACCTCCTAAAACCAAACCAGACGAGTCCTAAGCTATAACTATTTTTGCTGCTAGTCTCATTCTTGGATCCAAGGAACCACCGATGTTAACCTTCACGACAACCTGCAGTGGGGGACTCAAATGAATCGAATTAGAGGTGGCTTCCATATTAGTCTGATTGTTCATAACAGAATGACACGATTAAAACATTGACACTTGATGAATTCTACCTATAAAGTCTTCGCATTTGCCACAATAACACATAGAAGTTTAAGGCAGTCGTCATGCGCCATTATATTACGCCTGTTCTATGTATTCCAATGAAGCATTATGAATCCTAGAAAACTTTCAAGATCAAGCTCAACAAAGATAATTTGGAGCCAGTTCAAAGGGATATTAACTGACTAGCAAGAAAAGCACATGCTAACCTAGTCATCGTGAAAACTTCTTGGGCATACAAACAATCACGAAGAATGTGCGCCACTATTTTCAAATGCCCTTTACACATGGAACATACATCCATCCCTATTTTGGTAGCTCGAAGGCGACATCCTACAGGGAGACCCCCATGTGCCATCCTCCAATCAAATAACCTGACCTTAGGAAGCGTCTAGAGTTTGGCTATGGCCTTCCATAACTTCAAAGTCACCTTCATTGTGTGTGCATGTCGTTGGAGCCACCAATAACCAGATCGAACCAAATAATTCCCAGAATCATGATTACCTAAATGATGGTATCCTCAGTACATGGAGCTATCGCTATTGATAAAATGGTTTCTGCATAAGATTTCATAAATGTTTCGCGCACTTTTTTCATGTTCCACGCTGGCCGGTCTATATGCATGAATTGATAAACATATAAATTCTACATAGAAATAGTGGCACAGTCTATCACTACAAGAAATTTTTATTATTATGACAAATTTAATTTTGTCAAATTTAATTTTGTCACTATTAATAGTTTTTTGGTGATAAAATAAATAATCGTCGCATTAAATTAGAAAATATATACAATTATGAAAAAAGTTTAAATCGTCATAATAATTTATCACAATTAGCAAACATGTGTAACATATGGTGACAAAATAAATTTTATTACAAATTTTTGTCACAAATGTTTTCCTCCATTTTTTTAGCGCCAAATTAAAGGCATATAATGACAAATTTTGTAACTAGAAGTTTTAGTAACTATGACAGAAAAAATTGTCACAACAAATAATGAGATTTAGATTTGTTGTGACAAATTTTGTTTGTAATTATATATTTTAATTATAGTGACAAAACGTATATTCACAAATGATTATCTCCAATTTTTTGTACAAAAAACAAAATCATATAGTGACATGTTTTGTAACTATAAGCTATAATTATTGTTACAAAAAAAGTTGTCACAACAAATAATGAGATTTAAGTTTTTAGTAAAAAATAGTTTTTGTTGTTATATATTTTAATTATAGTGACAAAATATACTGTCACAAAAATTCCCCTCTATATTTTTTTGCGACAAAAAAGTCATATTGTGACAAATTTTGTAACTATAAGTGTTAATAATTATTACAAAAAACATTGTCACAAAAATAATACTATTCACATTTTTGTGACAAATTATATTTGTAGTTATAAATTTTAACTATAGTGATAGCATATATTGTCATAACTATTTTTTCTCAACTTTTTTATTTCAAAAGTTATATTGACAATTTTTATAATTATAATTTATAGTTATTGTTACATAAAAAATTATTACATCAAATAATAAAATTCAAGTTTTTTGTAATAAATTATTTTTGTACTTATATATTTTAATAATTATGAAAAATAATACTATCAGAACCATTTCTCCCTATCTTTAGTGTCAAAAATGTTATGTAGTAACAAAATATATTGTCATAAAGATTTTTCTCCATATTTTTTGTGCCAAAAAAATCATATAGTAACAATTTTCGTAACTATAAGTGTTTATAATTATTACAAAAAAAAAACATTGTCACGAAAAATAATGGTATTCACACTTTTGTGGCAAATTATACTTTTAGCTATAAATTTTAATTATAGTGATAACATATATTGTGATAAATATTTTTCTCCACTTTTTTGTTTCAAAAATTTATATTGATAAGTTTTGTAATTATAATTTATAGTTATTGTTATAGAAAAAATTATCACATTAGATAATAAAAATCAAGTTTTTGGTAATCAATTATTTTTGTAGTTATATATTTTAATCATTATGAAAAATTATACTATCAACAAAAATAAATAACTGTAATATAGATAAAATATAATCAACAAAAAACAACATGCAAAATTAACTATAATATAGATAAAAATAAATAAAAAAATAACACCAAATTGTATTAAAAATAAATAATATAAACATGAATGACCAAAATATATTCAACAAAAAACAACATGCAAAATTAAAATAACTATAATATAGATAAATGGCCAGAATATAAAACAATAAAATTGATATGCTCAAATTTTAAATAAATAAAAAACAGAGAAATCAGGTGACTAAATTGTAAATACTAGGCAAAGTTAAGGGGGCCTATACGATGATTAACCCTAAACTAGTGACTAAAACGAAAAACAGAGCTAAAATTACGGGGATAGTTTGACGATTAACCCATAACATAGGTGAACAAAGCAAGAAGATCCAAGCAATTGGGGACCTGATAGTGATTTATTCAAAATAATTAAAATGAAAACCCCTTCCCCGTTTATTCTGCTTAACTCTCAACTAACCTAAAAAACTAATATACTCTCAACCCCCTCTCACATAGCATCCACTCACCTCAACACAATAAAAAAATCGGACGCCGACCACCATGCTCTTTGCTATTTCAAATCAATTGGAGGAAATTGTTATTCTCCACTGGTTTTAGAAAAGAAGAATTGGTAGATAATTGAATAAATTAATAATTGCAGCTCCTGAGTCGGAGACGAGGAGCAACATATTTTACGTACCAAGAGATGACTGCTTCTTGGAGGTGAAGCAACTGACGTTCTCGGCAAATACGATGTACTCGGTGTTTCACGCAGTGATACCGTCGCTGCAGACGGCTATTGTAGACAAGGATCTTGTGTTCCCGTACTTCACAGCCATCGACAAGCTTTCAATGAGGGGATTCACTTGCCTCCCCAGAAAGGACAAAGTTTGTGGAGATCAGTTCTACCCAGACTTCTCAAATCCATTTCTGACACGAATGCTTTGCGCTTTGAAACGCCTGCCACTATGGATCGTAAGTTCTCTCTCTTATACACATATTTTAGGTACCATTTAAAAAGATAATTGGATTAAAGTATAACTACGTGAAATTTTAGAGTAATGAATCACCATCGTAGTTATTAAGTTTGTTTATGTTTCAACTGTTATTCCCTATTTATTTGTTTTAGAAAATATATTGATCAATTGCTATTTTTCAATTACTTCGTTTTTTATTGAGTTGGATCCATGAATCAATCCTTATTCCATGGTATTTAATATGTGATTAAGCTTTTTCTATTCTTATGCAAGTCCCTAAGGATTCCTAGTTGATCCGCGGTTTTTGTTTCTCCTTTCGCTGCCTATTTGTTTGTTTCGAAAACTATATCTATCAATTGCTTTATGTTCTAATAGAGTTGTATTGATCCATGAATCTATGTCTATATTCCTCCTATTGATTCTCTCCATGAATCTATGCCTAATTGTGTACTTGTGCCAATATTTGTCTATGCATTGATCTTGGATATTTTAGTTGTGTTATGTATTAGGTACATGTATGCAAACTTATGCTGACATAGGAGGGGTCAAAATCTAAAATACGTTTACCCCTGGTTTTTATGCAGCTGATACATATTTAGCTCCAGCTTACACAACTCCTGTGCAAGTTCTTCCACCTACTAATGAGAATACTAATACCACAGTAAGTGAGGTATCCTCAAGTTATTTTAGAAATTATCTCTCATCTCTTGGACTAACTATCATACTTTTTGAAGATTTTTGTTGGGATCAAAATGTTACAGAAGAGGAATTGAAACAATTCTTTTCAACAGTTGGAGAGATTGTATATGTCAAGATTCCTGTAGCCAAAGGGTGTGGTTTTGTACTGCTTGCAACCAGGTAAAATCTGTTGACCTTACTAAGAAAAATTTTGTAGTTAATTAAATATGCACAAATGTATTTTTTTTATTTGCCAATAAGATTTCAGAGATTCATGAGTTATAAATTCAAAATCAACACAAATGACATCATATTCCAATCTTAAACCCTCAAAATCCAATACAAACGTGGAGTTGATCGTATCTTTGTTGATCACCCGATGTCCTTGAGAAGGTTTGTATTTTGTTCTGCTAACCCTGTTTCCTTAACATGTTCTATTTTATTATTCTATTTCCTTACTTACACCAAAATGATGATTCAGGTATGGGGCAAAACTGGATAAAAAAATCTATGGCCCTAATGCAGGTGTGGACTACAAAGACAATCAATGGCGGTTTAGCTTGTTATGCCAGGCCGCTCTGGAGGCACACAGGGTTTTGAATTTAAACAACAACAAATATTTTTCAGGACCATATGGTATGGACTGTTCTTCTTTGGTCTTAAGATTGAAAGTTTCAACACATTTTTCCTGTGAAAAGTGCTTCATCTTCTGCAGGGGAAGATGTTATCTTTATAGCCAATGATTGGCACACTGGTATTCTTTCATGTTATTTGAAAAGCATGTACCAGTCAAGGGGTTTAGGGTGCTTCATCTTCTGCAGGGGAAGATGCTATCTTTATAGACAACATGTAACTCTTCTATGATTTTATGTATACATTTATTTATTTGTTTGTGTAGGCAAACTTTTTTTTGGCACAAAATTTGCACTTTGCTTTTCTCCTGGTGGTAGTGGTTTTGTTGAGTGTATAAGCGAACACATAAATTTAGTAACACATAAATATTAATTTCTCAATATAAAAAATTATGACAAGTAATATTTTTTCACAATAACAAATTGTAACAAAATGATTTAGTCACAATAATACGTTAAATTTAATCAAAGTAAAAAGTTATGTCAAATTTATTTCGTCATAATATTTTTGTCAAAAGAAAAAAATGTGACAAATTTATTTAATCAAAATAACAATTTATAACTAATATTAATTTCTCATTATAAAAATTTGTGACAAATAATATTCTTTCACAATAACAAATTGTAACAAATTATTTAGTCACAGTAAAAAGTTATAAAAAATATTTAGTGACGAAATAAAAGTAGTGAGAAAATAAATTTTGTTGTAATATATATTTTTATCACGAAAACCTTTTTGTTTGATTTTATAATTTAAGTTAATTGTGACGAAATTTACTCTTTGTGATTAAATAATTATTTTTATTTTAACAAATATTTTGTCTCTGTAACTTACATTTAGTGACGAAATAGCAACTGTGACAAAATAATTTTTGTTGTCTTATGTATTTTCGTCACAAAAACCATTTATATTTGATGCTTAAATATAACTTAATTATGACAAAATATACTTCTCGTGACGAAATAGTTAATTGATTGTGACAATTTTTTTATTGTGATTAGTTAATTATAGTAACGAAATTTCATTGTTATAATAAAAACTATTAAATAGTAACGAACACACTTTTGTCACAATATACTTTACATGACAAGGTTGTTCTAACAAACTTGGTAACAAATAAAATTGGTCAGAATAAATATATCGTGACAAATTTAGTACTTTTAATGATAAATAATTTTGTTGAAACAACCAAAATTTCTTGTAGTGTATAATTAGCTTAACAAACGTAGATCCACCCCACTTATCAATCGTAAGATTGAGTTTAGTACAAGCCCCTATCCTTTAGTGGAACGCTCCCTCAAAGGCTTGAATCGCCTTATGTATTCCTTTCCAGCCATAAAAGCTTTTACTTCCAATGAGTACATTTAGTAAATCCCCATATGAAAAGTATTTCATCAAAAGTACACATGATACCAAACACTTAGGGTGCTTAATCAATCGCCATATATGTTTCTCAATTAGAGCCATATTGAAGGGTCTAATATCGCGAAGTCCTAATACTCCATGACACTTAGGCTTACAAATTGTCAATCTTGCTACTAAAGGCTATCCACGTTCAGAGATCTTTCTCGACCACCAATATTGGTGCATTATGCTAGTCATCTCATTAAGAAGGTGTTCAAGTAAAAGATAACAAGACATTGCATATTTAGGTAACACTTGCGCGACTAATTTAAAAAACACTTCTCTACCCCATATGACAAAAACCTTTTTTTCCAACCAGTAACCCTAGTTGTAATCTTATCACAAATGTAACCAGACATCCTATTTTTATTTTTACCAATATAAAGAGGAAGGCCGAGATAGTGTCCCAGTGCCTCCACTGCTTGAATACCAAAAAATATTTTTCATACGATGTTGTTTCTCCATAAGAGTATTAGGATTAAAATATACAGTTGATTTATCTAAATTCACTCATTGACCAGAGGATGAAGCATACACTAAAAATATCTCCTTCATATTATTAGCTTCAACAATGGAGTTTTTCAAGAACACTAAGCTTTCATCTGCAAACAATAAATGAGAAACACTTGGTCCAACTTGATAAGCTCAAATACCCTTAAAGGTGGATACTTGTTATTCCTTATACAACAGGATAGAAAACCCATGTGTTACAAATAGGAATAAGAAGGGAGATAAAGGATTACCCTATCTTAACCCATGACTCAGAGAGAACTTAGAAGTGAGAGAACCATTAACGCTAGCGCTAAATACAACCGAGGTTACACATTTCATAAGTAGTCCAACAAAATCATCACTAAGCAACATAATACTCTCCAAGAAACACCATTTGACCCTATCATGGGCCTTCTCATGTACAACTTAAGCATTGATAACCCTGTAAAAAGGTTATATTATATGCCTTTCTAATTAGGTTATTGTTTGTTTTCAAGCTCATTTAGTTACATTTACTCTCATTTAGTTGAATTAATCATACTAGTGGTGTATTTTACCTGTTGGTTTTTAATTATCCTATAAATGATACTTTGATGGGAGAAATGTAGTGTTTTTGTGCTGATGTGCATGTGAATAGGGCTAAAAGAGAAAAAATGATTTGTCGTAGCATATTGGGTGAGGAGACTCAGTGAAATGCTATAGTATTGCGGACTGCGTTCCTGAGAAGTAATGGACAAAAAGGATGAAAATACTTTTATGGGAGCTGTCAGCCGTCCATGTTCACACGTGAATTCCTCTACCAACTTCCCTTGTGAGCCCCATTGCTAGGCATGCTTACGCCTTCACGTGAAGGGAATGATACCTTGGGTAAAAAGGGAATTTTGGTACAAAACCTAGGGATTCCCTTAGTATAAATAGTTTAGGATACCCTCATTTTAATATAGCTTTTGGAAATATGAGATAAAGGAGAGAAGAAAAGGGGGCAACACAAAACTTCCATTTTTTTCATTTTCTTCATCTTTTCATGGTGACCTCCACAACCAACCTCTAATGGGATAGCAGGCTAACTTTATATAGAAGCTAGCTTTGATAAGGCGGTTCATGGTGGTTCAAGAACGCTCATGGAAACACTTGGGAGTTCTATTCTACTTTTTTTCACTCATATTTGTTGTGGCTTTTGTAATGGAATGGATGATTATTGTGGATGATTTTACCCCCACCATGAACTAACTTATTTGGTGTGGGTTTGCTTTGGATGATTATGTGTTTGTTGAAATGAATAGTTTTATGTTTCCATGTTATATATTTGCTTTGCTCATTGTATTTATTTACTTAAGATCTTAAGAGCATTTGAGAGTTAGCCATCTTATAACTTTGAATCCTAATATCTATAGATTTTGGCGCGATCAACGTGAGCAATAAGGTTGAGCTGGGAAGCAAAACCCTAATCCTCCTTAGAGACAGGGAAATGATTTCAATGACTAAAAGGCACATGACTTAGTCAATAATATTATGTTACTGCTTACGCTTAGAGGTATTGTCA